TTCTAAATAAAATTTTACTTCATACAGTTCACTGAGTCAGTATGACTTTTGCACAGGCAGGAGTGTCTTATTCACTTGCTTAATCTCGTAACATCTTCTTTTTTTTTTTAAGATTGACTGACTGATTGATTGATTGATTTAGACAAGCACCGGGTACAGTCAGAAACCCGGGAGGGTGAGAGAATTCACCAGAGCCAGAGCAGGGAACAGAACAGGCAGACTGATGAAATACACTGCTGAGGGTAGCAGCGGGTGGCAGGAAGAGGTCTGTGCTCCATGTGGGACCCTCGCCTGCGGCCGGGGATCAAACTGGCACTGCAGAGGCTGCGGGCAGCTTCACAGCCCAGTGCTCAACTGCTACGCAACCAGGGGAGGCTCTCTAGTAACATCTTTTTTTTTTTTTTTAAGATTTATTTATTTATTTACACAAGCGCTGGGTACAGTCAGAAGTGCAGGAGGTTGAGAGAATTCACCAGAGCCAGAATGGGGAGCAGAGCAGACAGACTGAAGTACACTGCTGAGAGGAGCAGCTGGTGGCTGGAGAGGTCTGCGCGCCTTGTGGGACCCTCGCCTAGCGGCCGGGGATTGAACCTGGGCTGCGGAGGCTGTGGGCAGCTTCGCAACCCAGTGCTCAACCGCAACCCAGTGCTCAACCGCTGAGCCACTGGGGAGGCCCCCTCTAGTAACATCTTTTGATGATAACTTCCCATAAGTTAAAGAGACAATTTGTCTCATTAAAAATGAGTCTGCTAGCATTTTATATTGTTATAAACTGTTACAATTTTACTAAATATCTATTTGTTATTCTAAAAAAAATCATTATGATATTGTTATTAGTATGTTCCTTTCAAGTCATTTAATTTATCTTTTTAAGTTGTATTTTTAATAATATATTAAGGGTCACAAGATACACAACTTGAATAGCACAATTCTGCAACTGTATGTACAGTTTTTTAATTTATCTATTTGCAATTTTTCCTAAAACACTTTTCCCCTGATTATAGAAGCTCTGTAAGTGAAATAAAATGATTAACAATATAGAAACAATTAGAAAAATAAAAGCTAACACCTTAATATATGAATATAAAGATATTTCCTATCTTTTAAAATACTTCATTAGTTTGCGTGCAGTTTACATTAGGGAGATGTAATATAACATGTTTTTTATAACTTGAAAGAATTTTCTTGCAACCTTCAATATAATTCAACATTAAACAACTATACGTTATTCAGTCATTCATATTTTGTTAGTAAAAGTGACACTAAATTTAATATGTAAGGTTATGGTGTTTGGACACATCTCTGATTATTTTCACAAAGCAAATTTTAATAAGGGTTACTGAATCATTGAGAATTACTTTCTCTGAATTTTTTGTGCATATTGCCAAAAAATTGCTATTCCATATTTTTTCAATTTGCTATATTGCATGTGCTGTTTTGAGGTTGTAAATTAAATGATGTAAAAATAATGATATAAAGTTTTATTATAAGAGTGATGCTAGTGATACAGCTCAGGCAAATTTTAATGAAGCAAGTTGTAACATTCTTCAAGAAAGGGAATGTTAGACCTTTAGGGAGAAATGCTATGAGGCCACCATGCATGCCAGTAGGCTTGTTAGAAAACAATGCTAGCAGTTCATGAGTTGAGCATAAACTCAGATCTAAGGCTGGCTACCTCCTTTTGTCATAATATTCCTGGTCCACCCACTCCTATTTATCAATCTAATCTCTCACCCAGTTGAGAAGACAAAATAATTGTATTGCTAAAACTTGGGGGCGGGGAGGGGTGGGAGGGAACAATAACAACAACAATGAATTCACTTAGAGGACACTGAAAAACTTCTCTTATATCATGGTGTGTGTGTAGGAATATTTGCCATGTGGAAATGTACCCTGTGAGAGTTCTCTAAAATAATCTATCTATATAATACCTCTACATGTTTACAAAATAAAGTGGTGACAAATTTGAAATATGAAAAAAATAAGGTTTTATTATTTAAAAATCTTTTATCTGAGTCTGTGCTCAAGAGAACAAAAATATGGGAATTATTCTTTCTCCCCACTTTCCTCCCACTCACCCTAAAAAAATCTAGTAAATTTCAATCCACAAAGGTTGTATTCTGTTCTTATTGGAATATCTCTCAAGTTAGATTTATTATAATATCCTTATCTGGCTGCCATAATGATTTAGAAATAGCAAATCAAATGAAGGTAAGGTGACTAAGGTGTATTGGTTAAGTAAATCTAAACTATTATAACAAAGATACCTCCATAACTTAAAGGCCTGAAGAATAGACAAATGAAATGGTCATAGAAAGGTGTTCCAGATTTAGTGGGAAAGTTTGTTTTTCGTATCTTTTGGGGAGTCAGACTGTTATTCTATTAGTCAGAATGAAGGAAGGATTGGGTAATTAAAAGTTTCCGTCCCAAGAAGCAATAATAATGATGATTGTTAGAAGAAAGAAATGAAACTTTTGGAAACAAAACTATTGAAGTCATACAGTGACTAAGTAAGTAATTCTTTGTGGGAAAATTTGACTATCTTCCTACAGGCTTAAAAATTACTATTTTGTGGCTTTTGGCAGAAAACATGAGACTTCTAAGTTAGAGACAAGTGGTTTTATTAATCAGTGTGAGCATCATATTTGCATTGACTCCTCTCATCTTGCTAGTCCCAAAGGGGTGATACTATATGGTCCTGATGGATGTTGCCCACACCATTGGTTTGCATCATGACTGAGGAGCAGTCAGCTTGGGGAATACATTCTTCTGTAGCAAGCTGTAAGCAAGCCTATTCTGTGTCTACAAGGGAGACATTATCTTATTCCTCAGAGTTGCTTGCTACAAATACATCCCTGAGAAATGGCCCCTGTCAACAGTAGTCAGAAACTTGTATTTTCAGCATGCTCAGTAAATTATGTAGGAGTATTGGAGACCCAGATCCATGGAGGGACTGTTCCTGCCAACACCCATCACTCATTAGCTTCTAAAGATATTCATGTATATACAGTGAGATAAACAAAGTAATGTTCCAAAGACTGTGGAATTAAATTCAGCCTGAGAAGATTCTTCATGTTCTATACTTAAAGTTTCAAGTATTTTCTCTGCCAGCAGACACCTTCACAAATAATTATTGATTCATTATTATCCTTTGGAGAGGTTGTAGAACTGTTTGCAAAACAGAGAAAAGATAGCTGGATGGATTAGGCAGAGTGTTATTAACTGAAGACCAGTTAATTATTTTATTTCCTCATAGCCTGTTATGTGTTGGTGGATGAGTAAAAGGGCCTTTTCCTGAAACATTTCACTGTTAGACACTGTTATACATTATATTAGAAGTTCATGTGGCTTAAGGCACATATCTTTTGGGATAAAATACTCCTGAAATGAATTGATCCTATTTTATTGATGCTTTTTCATGTGTACTGATTCCTTGACTGATAGCACTTGTTTATGATCAGCTTAAGTAAGTGGGAGGCATAATAAAGGAGAATGAAATAAATTCATGTAAGTTAGACATTCCTGTTAACTGCTCACCTGTTCTTTTCTCCATAAGTCATGATTTATTTTTTGGTATCTGAAAGAAGTACTGTAGAAGCTTGTTAAGAGCAAGAAAATGAGTGTCAGGAACTCTGTTTTCAGCTTTGGGCTCTGCCGTTTGGTGACTTTGGTACTTTTGGCAGCTCACTTAATGTCACTTAACATTTGAGTTATTATTATTTTTTTATTTTTACATAGAACTGGGGTGTAGGCCGTAGGTACAGGGGGTAAGAGGATTCACCAGAGACAGAGCGGGGAGCAGAACAGGCGGATCCACTGAAATACATTGCTGAGGGGAGCAGCAGGCTCCCCTGTCTTTAGGAACACAGGAAAGGTCTGCTGTGCCGTGTGGGTCTGCTCCCTGGCGATGGGTCTAACTAATGCCACACTGGCTGGTGATAGCTTAATAGTACTGAGACTTAACCCCTGTGCCACCAGGGAGGCCCATCATTTGGGTTATAAAGAGTGTCTGAACTCAAGTGTGATGTGACTATTAATGTTCATTCTAATCTATAAAGCATTATACAAATATATATTGAGCAAGAATTATGTATACTTGAACTTTTCTCTAATAAGGGAGACTGAAGAATATGTAACCTCACAGTGTTGAGAACATAATATAGCTTCTAATATGAACATTTTTTTATTTTACTCACAACATTGGATTTGGAAAAAAAGGAAATTAAAATAACCCTATAATTTCCATCTCTTGAAGGTTGCATTCACATGGCCCATTTTGTTCTGCAACCATGATGAAAATTCAAAATTCTCCCTTCAGTACTAAGTTTTAAACGGTGGATTCAGTAAAAAAAAATGTATTTGCATTTTTAGTTTGGATAACAATAGCAATACTACTGGAAAATGCAAGAATGGGTTGTTAAAAGGGAAAATATTTGGTATTACATAGTAAAGTATACTTGCCATAGGGCATAAGAGCAGTTGAGAAATGGTAGAAAACATTTACAGGGTATTATATCTGTTTGTGTGTGTGTGCACAATATAGGTGTTAATCAAAATCCTTGTTCCGTAATGGTTTGTTGAAAATATTATCATTAATAGCTGCAAAGTGGAAAAGAGATGGTGATATAATGTAACACTTTTTCTTAATAAATAGAATTTATTTCCTTCTGCTGATTTATAGACAGTAGTTGCCAAATAGTATTCTTACCTTTTTAATATCTGCTCCATATATAATTGACCCACTTGGGTGATTAGTTGATAATGATGAAAGTCATGAATCATAAAATATTCAAGCTGGAATATTTTAAGGTTCATATATTATAGTGCAGAAGGAAAAATAAAGCTATTAGAATTTAAACTTTAAAGGTAACAATTGGATGGTAATTTAGATTCTTAAGTTCATTTCTCCTTTTCTTATTTGAAGCAGTAATCCTAAACTATTAGCAATATCTTGGACTTTCGAAAACATTTAAAGCAATAACATCTCATTCTCTTTTTAGGTTGTTATTAGGAGTAAAAGTGGAGAGATCTTGTATCGTATTTCACCGTGGGCGAAGTATGTGGCTCGTGAAGGTGATAATGTGAATTATGATTGGATGCACTGGGATCCAGAGCACATGTACCAAGTGAGAACAACAAATCTTTAAATAAATGCTTGTTGCAATACTTCTGGGAAAATTAAATTTTACTTTTGTAACTATAATAATGTTCAAATTCTCTCTTCATTGTTCATTTAATACTTTACATCATTGTACTCATTATGCTATGCATATGTCAGAGTCCATCATCTGTAACCAATAAAATAGAAGGTACTTTTTTTGTCATGTGTTTCTGAGGTTAAAGTGGTAGGGAAATACTAAATGTCTACATAATGAATGATGTGTAAGGTTTACAGATTTTTTTTTTTAAACTACAATGTCTAATGTATCAAAGACTCCTCAGTGATATAATATTTCTCACTGTCATGAGTTTAAAGCAGGATTACTGTCTTTAGGAACACAGCAGGGGAATGGAATCTCATGAACGTATTAATTACAGTAATTTTTATGGCTGTCTTATTGTCTTATTGATAACATTAATAGTATCCTTAAACTCATTTTCTGCCCTTTAATTTGTTGAAGCTGATTAATAAATGCTTTGCATTTAATAATCATGCATGCATCTCATAGCCCTTACATTTTCTCTTAGTATTATACTCAACATGTATTTCCACTCAATGGTAAGAAATGTTATTACTTACATGAATAATATTTTTTTTTTTTTGAGGTAACATTGGTTTACTGCCCAATGTTTAGGGGAATGGGGTCATACCTCCTCAAAGGAATGGTTCCTCTTTTAAAGTGGGTCCATTTTTGTGACCCTAAGTTTTGTTGTTGTTTTTTTTTTTTTTTCCAAAGCAAATTTAGTGGAGGTAAGTAATGCCTTTATGTGTGAAAACAGTTTCAAAGTGTTGGAATTGATTTACCATTTAATCTAATGTGTTTAATTAGTGCCATACCTGCATTTGTGGTCTAATTCTGTATGTTATTTTATATATATATTCTGCAGTTTAAGCATTCCAGGCCAAAGAAGCCCAAAAGCCTCAGAATTTATGAATCTCATGTGGGAATTTCTTCCCATGAAGGAAAAATAGCTTCTTATAAACATTTTACATGCAATGTACTACCAAGAATCAAAGACCTTGGTAAGTAATCGTTGTGATTTTTATTCAGATAAAATTTTAATGAGTCTGTTCTCTTATTAGAAAAGCTAATTACGAGTGTGTCTCTTTTTTTGTGTGTGTTAAGAGATTAAATATGTAATAGAAACGCATTTTATTTTAGGCTTCTCAAATTGCCCTGTAATAGTGATAGCATAGAAAAGAGAAATGGAATAAGATAGAGCATAAGAATTCTAGATATTATTCCAATTTCAATTTTAAGTAATGTGAGCTGATGGCTTCTAAAATTGTAGATAAATATGTAAGCATAATTACTTTTCTACAGCAGAGAACTTTTATCAATTTAAGTGGTCATTGATTATAGCCTGTTCATATTAGTCTGTTAGGAGAAAAAAAGCCTTACATTTATAAGGTGTCTGAAACTCATTTTATGCTGAGTCCTCATGTATTTAGCACTTGTCTATTTGACTTATTTAACAAATATTCATGATGCATCTTCTGTGTGAGGTACATTGTTCTAGATGTATGTGTATTAGACTCTTGAGGCACAGATCTTGTCTTCATAGAAGTCAATGTTCTGTTGAATCACTGATTCAGAATGCTGTAAATCTGTTATTTTTTTCTTTTTTTATAGGTATTGCTTTTATTTTTATCATTTCATAGCATATCAGCACCTGCCCTAATAGCTAGGCAGGAAGATAAACTACACTTAATTATTCTGCTTTTAGTAGGTTTTCTAAATTTTGGCCAAAGGAAAGTTTTGCAACTCTTTATTAAACTTTTTAGCTAAATTTGGATCTTAGTTATCTGAGATAGTGAGGTTAATATTTACAAACCAAAATTAAATATATGAGTGGAAAATTTAGTAATATATTTAATATGTTATATTAAAATTGTTATATTTGAGATATTTTCATGTTATATTGTAATAAATTATTTCTGACCTATTTCTTGCAAAAGACTCACCAGAACAACAATTCTTTTATTTGTCTTTGTGTTTGAATTGTGTTGCTTAGGAATGATTAATGCCTTGCAATTAATAGAAATTATAAATTGGTCCTAGATCATAGAAACTATGTTTATTGCATAAGGGAAGCTAAACTCTAGTTTGTTAAAATTTGTGATGATTTATATTATCTGAGAATTAGGTTATGTACATATTTATGTCAGGCTTCATAGAGTTAACTTGGTTTTCTTTCATAATAAAAAAGCCAACAGTAATAACTTTTAAGAAGTTTATGAGTCATTGAGTTTAGATTATCCTTAAAACTATGGATTCTTAGATTGCCTCCGTGGTGGCACAAGGGCTTAATCACCACACTATGAAGCAATCCCCAGCCTCTACAGCAGGAGTTTGATCCCCTGCCCGCCAGTGAGCAACTCATATGGTGCAGCAGACCTCTCCTGGCTCGCCCGCTGTTCCCCTCAGCAGTGTACTTCAGTCAATTGGTCTGTTCTGTCCCCACTCTGTCTCTGGTGAATCCTCTCACCCCCCGCATCTCTGGCCTGTGCCCCAGCTCTTGTATGCATAAATAAATCTTTAAAAAAAATAAAATAAACTATGGATTCTTAGTTCTGAATGTGAAATTGTAATTGGTCTGATATTAATTATATATTGAAATATGTGCAAGAGATGCTATACTGACATGAATTGGACTTTTTGGAGTAGAAAACAAATGTAGTATATATCTAATATATATAACAGAAATATAACTTTCATTTTATTATTTATTTATTTATTTATTTATTTTTATTTTTATATTCCCCAAACAATTGCGACCCCTTATTTTGACCCCAATCCCTCCCCTCCCCGCCCTCCACTACCAATAGAGTGTCTCTGGTTCATAGTTGTTTGTTGATTTTGATTTTCACTTTCTTATAGTTATTCATTTTCCTGGTCCCTTATTTAATTTTCTAGGTTCCTGCTATGAGTGAGACCATCTGGTATTTTTCTTTTTCTTTCTGGCTTATTTCTCTGAGCATGATCCCTTCCAGCCCCATCCATGTTGCTGCAAATTGCATGTGTTTATCTTTTTTGAATGCTGAGTAATATTCCATGGTGTATATGTACCACATCTTCTTGATCCAGTCATCTATTTTTGGGCATTTGGGTTGTTTCCAAAGCTTAGCTGTTGTAAATAGTGCTGCTATAAACATAGGGGTGCAGGTGCTCTTTGGAATTGATGTTTCTGTGTCATTTGGGTAAATACTAGGAGTGGAATTGCTGGATCATATGGAAGCTCTATGTTTAGTAGGTCCAGAAATCTCCACACAGCTCTCCATAGTGGTTGGACCAGTTTGCATTCCCACCAACAGTGCAGGAGAGTTCCTTTTTCTCCACAACTTCGTCAACATTTGTTGTTGCTAGTTTTTTAAATATGTGCCATTCTCACTGGTGTAAGATGGTATCTCATGGTAGTTTTGATTTGCATTTCCCTGATTAAAAGTGATGTTGAACATTTTTTCATATGCCTGTTGGCCATTTGCATTTCCTCTTCAGAGAAGTTTCTTTTTAGCTCTTCTGCCCATTTTTTAACTGAATAATTTTCTTTGTTTTTGTTGAGTCTCATCAGCTCTTTGTAGATTTTTGTGATCAGTCCTTTATCATTAATGTTGTGTGCAAAAATGTTCTCCCAGTCAGTGGGTTTCTCTTTGTTTTTGTTATTGTCTCTTTTGCTGTGCAGAAGCTCTTTAATTTGATGTACTCCCAGCTGTTTATCTTTGCCTTCACTATCACTGCTTTGGGTGATGGGTCTGTAAAGATGTCTTTGATGTGCATATCAAATAGTGTTTCGCCTATATTTCCTTTTATGTATTTTATGGTTTCAGGTCTTATGTCTAGTTCTTTAATCCATTTTGAGTTGGTTTTTGTGTATGGTGTGAGGTAGTAGTCAAGCTTCATTCTTTTGCATGTAGCAACACAGTTTTCCCAGCACCATTTATTGAACAAACTTTCTTTGCTCCAATGCATATTCTTTGCTCCTTTGTCAAAGATTAGTTGACCCTAAATCTGTGGGTTTATTTCTGGATTTTCTATTCAATTCCATTGGTCTATATGTCTGTTCTTGTTCCACTACCATGCAGTTTTGATGATTATGGCTTTGTAGTGTAGTTTGAAGTCTGGGAGTGTGATGCCTCCATTCCCTTCTTTTTTTTTTTTTTTTTTTCAGAACTGCTTTGGCTATTTGGGGTTTTTTGGTGATTCCATATGGATTTCATCAATAATTGTTCTATTTCCTTGAAGAATGACATTGAAATTTTTTATTGGACTAGCACTGAATCTGTATATTGCTTTTGGTAGGATGGCCATTTTAATAATGTTTATTCTTCCAATCCATGAGCAGGAGATGTCTTTCCATTTCTTTGTGTCTTCTTCTATTTATTTTAACAGTGTTTTTTAGTTTTCTTTGTATAGGTCCTTTATCTCTTTTGTTAGATTTATTCCCAAGTATTTGAATTTTTTTTTCTTTTGATAATAAAAGGGATGGTTTTTTTGATTTCTTCTTCTTCAGATTTATTGTTTGTGTATAGGAAGGCTACTGGCTTTTGCATGTTGATTTTGTATCCTGCCACTTTACTGAACTGATTGATGAGTTGAATTAGTTTTTCTGTGGAGTTTTTGGGGTTCTCTATATATATATCATCATATCATCTGCAAATAGTGATAGTTTGACTTCTTCTTTTCCTATTTGGATTCCTTGTATGTCTTTCTCTTATCTTATTGCTCTGGCTAGGACTTCCAGTATTATATTGAAAAGCAGTGGTGAGAGTGGACATACTTGTCTTGTTCCAGATCTTAATGGAAATTCTTTCAGCTTTTCACCATTGAGAATGATACTGGCTGTTGGCTTGTCATATATGTCCTTTATGATGTATATAACAGAAATATAACTTTTAAAGCAATCAAATCACATGTGAACATTTTACCAAGTTATACTGGAAAGAAGACAAACCTGATTTTTTAAGTTTGTTTTTAAACCAAAGTTTCCTTTTATTTATTTGCTTATATTAAAATGCATTAGTAAATGTTTTTAAGTGTTATAGATTTAGGAAACTACAATACCTACCTTTTCAAATTACTACATTTATTGTTGGAGCAAATCATTTCAGAGGGAGAAAGGAAGGTGTTTGTGCATATACAGATGTGTATACATGCAACTTTGGAATGATTTTATAGGTGCAAGAAGTAGTGGAAAATGGGAACATTAAAGCTGGTTCTCTACAGGTTACCTGTGGATAAATGGATTTGGTGGTATAGCTTATATTGCAGAAAAAACTGAAATATAAAGAAAAAGGAGAAATAAAAAAAGTGTATGACATGCAATCAGTTTATTTTATTTATCTTTCATAATCTGCACAATGAATTTTACAAGTGCATATGCAGATTGTCATATTTAATATTCTAATGTCAAATTAAGAGTATATTTGCATATCATTTATTACATGTTAAAATGAAGGCATTTCAAATAGCTAGTTGGAGATGAACTCTTATGGACTAACTGATTTTGTGTTAAAAGGTTAGAAAAGCAGAAGATACTAAAGTAATGGAACTTTGCAAAATGATCCAACCTCCTAGATTTTTTGCAAACTTTAATGCCTTTAGAACAAGGATGCTATGTTCATATAGATTTTTATTTCTTTTTATTTAATGCAGTTTTTAATCTCTCTCTCTAACCTTTGCTTATATAGGATATAACTGCATTCAGTTGATGGCGATCATGGAGCATGCTTACTATGCCAGTTTTGGGTACCAAATCACAAGTTTCTTTGCAGCTTCAAGGTAAAATGAAATATAATTTATATCCATTCTTATTTTAGCCAAAACCCCAAAGACCTCATATTGTCCATATGGCCTCATTTGATCTGGATCTTACTTGACTTTCTGGGCTCCTCTCTTCCTCAGTCACTCTACATCAACTACTTCAGTGTATTTGCTGTTCTTTAAATGTTCCTAGCTCATTTCTGTCCCCAGTATCCTATCTTTCTGAATGCTCTTTACCTTAAATATTTACATGCCTTGCTTCTTACTTCTTTTAGGTCCTTGTTCAAGTATTTAAATATTCAAACTTTTCCTAAGACTCTAGTGTGACTTGGTTTTATTTTTCTTTAGAGAATTTATTGCTCTCTGAGATTCTACATATTTCGTTTATTTATCTGTTATCTCCCAAATTAAATGTAATTTCCATAAAGGCAGTGGTATAGATTATGCTCACTTTTGAATCCCTGGAGCATTGAAAATTTCAAGGCACACATTCCATAGCCTAACAGGTATCTGTTGAAAAAATGAATGAATGAATGAATGAATGAATGACACTTTTGGGTTTTTAGTCTTTAAACATGTTCAATGAGTGGATAAAATGGTAGGTGGGAAGAATAAGGAGAGAAAGTGGTAGACTGTCATAATTTTGAAGCCATGCAAGAAGCCAAATTGGGCAGTGTGGTAAGTCATATTCTTGAAGGAATATGTAGTCTAGTGAGGAACAGATATCGTGAGAGATTAATCACAAAGATGATTATTTAAAGTGAAAGTTGATGCTGACAAACACTGTAATATTGAGATTTTTGTTTTCTGTCATGCAGCTCTGAAAACTGTATTTGCCACAAACACATATGCATGTGAGCTACCCATCTTTTCTGCTTGCATGATGACAGACTTTGTACATGTACATGCCACTGGTTCCTGAGGGATTTTCAGTAAGATAATAAGTAAATGAGGAGAGATGGCTTCACTCAAGCCACTAAGAACATTCAATGAACTACTCCAAAGATATTCCCCCAGTCCCAACCACTGACACTGTAAAGGATTGCCAGGATGTGAACAGGACTGAACTGGATCCCTAGACTAGTTAGGCTTGGTGATGGAAATCAGAAACTCTGAGTATAGAGAATCAGAGTTGTACTGTATATATCCTTTCTCTAAAATGTGAATTTTTGTTGAGCTAAAAATATGCATCTGACAATCTGATTCAAATTAATGTTTTTTCATTGAAGGCTATTAAATTTTTTAATAGCAAATATTAATCAATTTTAACTCTGTCTAAACATTCTATCATGCTGTATTGGCCAATTCAAAGTGTCTAGAACTGTGCTGGTAAAATAATTAATATGCGGTAAATAACTGGTGATTTACTTTAAATATGGTGTAATCTTGTTTTTGCTGTGTTCTTTATCTCTAGCCGTTATGGTACTCCGGAAGAGCTGAAAGAACTGGTCGATACAGCTCACTCAATGGGTATTACAGTCCTCTTGGATGTGGTACATAGCCATGCTTCAAAAAATTCAGAAGATGGGTTAAATATGTTCGATGGTACAGATTCCTGTTACTTTCATTCTGGACCTAGAGGGAATCATGATCTTTGGGACAGTAGATTGTTTGCCTACTCCAGGTAGGTAGATATATATATATATATAAATTATTTTATTTTCGTTTGTTAAAAACTAAATTAAATTCATGGAACTCATTATTCTCTCACTGGTAATTAATTTTTTAATTTGAGTTTTTAAAATTTCATGAGGAGTTGTTGAGCATATATGTAGACTTTGCCTTGCTTAGTATAACATATATATTTGTGGTAAGTTGCACTAAATTTCAATTTTGTAAATCTTACAACATTTAAAAATATATTGGGAATAAGTGGGAGGGGGCGGAGCAACATGGCGGCTAGGAGACGCTGCGAGTAAGATCTCCCATTAAAAAAAGTGAATAGGGAGGAAAAGCGGCAGGTCCCAGTGAGACCTGGGACACGGAAGATAAACGGGTGACGCCAGCGAACTGCCCGAAGAAGAAACTGGCCATAAAAGAGGACTAGAAGGGAGGAAAGCGCAGAACCCTGCTCCCCTCCCCCGCCCACAGAGGCAGCACTCTCCCACCGGCAGAGAGGAGGAAACAACACACCAAAACGGCCCACAAGAACAAACGACGCAGCAAGCGGGACTGTGAGTGGAAAGGAACTATTGCAGCCACCACACCCCGTGAACGGGAGCTGAGGCGAACCCTGCAGGATCCGCCTCGGCGGTGAGCGAACGGCTCCGGGCGCCATTAGAGAAGAACAAAGACCCCGGGAGAAGCGCACACAGCCCGGGCTGCCGGTAAGCCTGCGCGGGAAAGCGGCACGCTTGGCACGCTTGAAAAGAAAACGCGGACCTGGATCCTGGCTGCCCAGGTCCCCGCGCCTGCGACCTAGGCTTGCGGGGAGACGCGCGGAGGTCCTCACTGAGGTGAAGGTCCCTCCCTGAGTGAGCAGGAACCAGGCGCCCAGGCACGGGAGCGGTGCAAAAGGCGCCAATCCCGCGCCACTGAACTGGGCTACAGCCCGCTTCTTGGAACTGAGGGCTTTGAACTGAGACCCGGGGCACGAAAATTCGGGGCGTGGTTTCTCCACAACGGTGGGGCACAAGGCAGACACAGCACCCCAAAGCTGTTGAGGTGTACCCTACCATTCCCGCTCTGTTCTCTGTCCCACGGGGTGGGGGGAGGCGAAAAACAACCCCCCAAGGACAATAGGAGAGATCTCTGGCGCCACCTAGCGACCAGGAAAAAAAAAAAACTCACTAACACCCTATAAAACAGGGCATTTCTTAAGACTGCTTGAAAAGGGCAGAAGGTTTCTGGAGGACCCAGTGGCCAGCCGGGAAGTTATTCCACGCCAGGCCCCTTCCGACCAGCAGTCTGAGCCCACAGAGGGAGCAGGCACCCACGTCCGGGGCAGACCGGGTGCGCAGAAGAGTGTGCCTGAAACCGGAGGCGCAGGGACTGCATCCCGCTTCGCCATTTGAGAACAGGGACATTTCTTCAGTAAAAACTGCCTAAAACCAGCAGAAAGCTCCCCCAGAAGACAGAGATGGCTCCTGGAAGAGCCAGAGGGGAGCGGAGAAGTTCACCCAAGATGTCAGTCAGTCCGAGCAACACAGTGTCCCAACGCATACGACAAATTAGAAAACAGACAGTAGGGAGTAGAAGAACCACATGCAACCTAAAAAACTCCTCAGGAAAGAAGCACACCACAAAAAGAAAACCACTCCCCAGATTGCAACGACAGCGACTTGGAAGAACTTCTGAGCCTTCCAGAAAGAGAATTTAAAATTGCCATGATTAAAAAAGTGATAGATCAGAAGAAGGAAATTGAGTCCCTAAAGAGGGAAGTAAGAGAAATGCAGGAGATCAAAGAATTAATGGAGGAACTAAAGAACTCTGGGAAAAGCAATGAAAGCAGAATAGATGAAATGGAAGAACGAATAAGTAATCTTGAAGACACAGAAATAAAAAGAACCAAAACAGAAAAGGAAAGAGAAGTACGAAGGAAAAAGAATGAAGAAAGACTTCGGGAACTATCTGACTCCATGAGGAAAGGAAATATAAGAGTTATAGGAATTCCAGAAGGAGAGGAGAGAGATGTAGGAACAGAGAAAATATTCATGGATATAATTGAAGAGAACTTCCCAAATGAGAAGAAGGAGCTGAAAATTGATATACAAGAAGCAAGAAGAACACCAAACTTCCACGACGAAAGGAAAAACACAGCAAGACACATAATAGTAAAGCTCCCAAGAATCCAGGACAAGGAAAAAATAATGAAGCTGACAAGAGGGAAGAAACAGATAACATTCAAAGGAAAACCAATCAGGCTGACATCAGACTTCTCTGAAGAAACACTACGGGCAAGGAGAGAGTGGAGGGACATAGTCAACAGACTCCAAGAAAACAGATGCCAACCAAGAATACTCTATCCCGCAAAGCTCTCTTTCCTCCATGAAGAAAGAATATGGACCTTCCCAGACAAAGAGAAACTCCGGAATTTCATTGCGACTAAACCCCCACTCCAAAAAATACTACAAGGAATCCTAAAGCCAGAACCTCAGAGGGACGAATAACAACGAAAGAAGACCAAAAAAAAAAAAAAAGTTATTAAAAGAATAAATAAATAAAATCAAAGGAAAGACAAACATAATGGCAAATACAGATGCTAACATATCAATATTAACTCTAAATGTAAATGGACTAAACTCTTCAATAAAAAGACACAGAGTTGCAGCCTGGATTAAGAAACAAAACCCAACCTTTTGCTGTCTCCAGGAAACACATTTAGCTACAAAAGATAAAAATAGGCTCAAAGTCAAAGGATGGAAAACAATCCTACAAGCAAATGGGCCAAAAAAGAAAGCAGGAACAGCTATACTTTTATCAGATAAAACAGACTTCAAACTCAAAAAAATAAAAAGAGACCCCAATGGTCACTACATTATGATTAAGGGGACAATACTTCAAGAAGAAATAACACTCATTAACATATACTCACCAAACGAAAGAGCACCAAAATATATCAGACAACTGTTGTCCTCTCTGAAAACAGACATCAGAGAAAACACATATGTAGTGGGAGACTTCAACACACCACTATCAACAATGGATAGATCAACAAGACAAAAAATAAGTAAAGAAACTAAAGCTCTAAATAAGGACCTAGAGCATTTGGGCTTAACAGACATCTATAGAACACTAAACCCAAAAAAAACGGAGTACACATTTTTCTCAAGCGCACACGGATCATTCTCCAGGATCGATCACATACTGGGGCACAAGACAAACATCAACAGATACACCAAGATTGAAATCGTACCAACCATCTTTTCTGACCACGAAGGCATCAAACTAGAAATAAATCATAAAAAGAAGGCAAGGAACTATCCTACCTCATGGAGATTAAAAGCCACACTACTGGAAGACCACTGGACTAACGAGGAGATCAAAGAAGAAATTAAAAAATTCTTTGAATTGAATGACAAGGAGGACACCAATATCCTAAATGTATGGGATGCAGCAAAAGCAGTAATAAGAGGAAAATATATAGCAATAGAAGCTCACATCAAAAAACAAGAAAGAACTCAAAGAAACAACCTAATCTCGAAGCTCAAAGATCTAGAAAAAGAACAACAAAAAAACCCCAGAACCAGTAGAAGAAAAGAAATAATAAAAACCAAAGCAGAAATAAATGAAATTGAAACTAAAAAAACAATCCATAAGATCAATGAAACCAAGAGCTGGTTCTTCGAAAAACTCAATAAAATAGACAAACCCCTAGCCAGGCTCACAAAGGAAAAAAGGGAGAAAGCACAAATACACAGAATCATAAATGAAAGAGGAGAAATCACAACGGACACAGCAGAAATCAAAAGAATAATCAGTAACTACTATGAACAGTTATATGGAAACAAGTTCAACAATCTAGAGGAGATGGACAAATTCCTACAACTCTACAATCACCCAACGCTAGATAAAGAAGAAATAGAACACCTAAACAGGCCAATTACAAGCAGCGAAATTGAAATGGTAATTAAAAACCTCCCCAAAAACAAAAGCCCAGGACCTGATGGATTTACAAATGAATTCTACCAAACATTCAGAGACGAATTAGTGCCTATCCTTCACAAACTCTTCCAAAAAATTGAGAAGGAAGGGACAATACCAAACACGTTCTATGAAGCCAATATTACACTAATACCAAAACCGAATAAGGACAACACAAAAAAGGAAAACTATAGGCCAATCTCCCTAATGAACACTGATGCAAAAATCCTCAATAAAATTTTAGCTATCAGAATCCAACAATGTATCCATAAGATAATTCACCACGACCAAGTTGGATTCATTCCAGGGGCACAAGGATGGTTTAACATCCGAAAATCAATCAACGTTATCCAACACATCAACAAAAAGAAATATAAAAACCATATGATAATATCAATAGATGCTGAGAAAGCTTTCGACAAAGTGCAACACCCATTCATGATAAAAGCCCTTGAAATTCTTGGGATACAAGGAACATACCTCAACATCATAAAGGCCATCTATGACAAGCCAACAGCCAGTATCATTCTCAATGGTGAAAAGCTGAAAGCAATTCCATTAAGATCTGGAACAAGACAAGGATGTCCACTCTCACCACTGCTTTTCAATATAATACTGGAAGTCCTAGCCAGAGCAATAAGACAAGAGAAAGACATCCAAGGAATCCAAATAGGAAAAGAAGAAGTCAAACTATCACTATTTGCAGATGATATGATAATATACATAGAGAACCCCAAAATCTCCACAGAAAAACTAATTCAACTCATCAATCAATTCAGTAAAGTGGCAGGATACAAAATCATCACGCAAAAGTCAGTAGCCTTCCTATACACAAACAATAAATCTGAAGAAGAAGAAATCAAAAAAACCACCCCTTTTATTATCGAAACAAAAAAATCAAATATTTGGGAATAAATCTAACAAAAGAGGTAAAGGACCTATACAAAGAAAACTATAAAACACTGTTAAAGAAATAGAAGAAGACACAAAGAAATGGAAAGACATCCCTGCTCATGGATTGGAAGAATAAACATTATTAAA